ATAAATGATATGATTTCAGCAGTAGGAAACATTAAAAGTTGCCTTTTCTTCTTATCACAAACGTTGTTCAGCTGCGATGATGGATGTAAAGACAACAAGGCTAAACAAGAAGATAGTAATGCATGAATATATTTTATCGTTACTCGAAGTCGAACTGCAAGACGCAGGAAAGAGTTGAATTTCAATTGCTGGTCGTTTCAGCAAAACGGTGGACGATCGTCTATTCACAAAACTCTCTTTCGACGACCAAATTAGAATAACGAGGTTTTCTGTCAAGATTCAAAGATTTAAAAAAAATTGGCATTCCTAAAGTTTCCGGATTTTTGTTTATGCCCAAAAATCCGGACACATTTCAAGCGCCTTCTCCTAGCAATATTTGCCATTTCCCCATAGGGCTGTCCATGGATCAATACAAAACGGTGAAAATGAGGCTTTTTAATACGCTACTAAGAAGCGTCACGAGTCCCTGCTAGGCAGGGCAAGGCATCCGAAATACCTCTCATTCGACGGGTTGAAGGAGGTAAGGCCTATGACGATAAGGAGGAAGCAGACAATGAAGCATATTTATTTTTCGTTCATACGTAGGGTTTCGAGACTATCAATAAATCGCATATATGAGATGTGTTCAACCTATTTTGTTTAAGATGATGAAGGAGTGGTAGATGAATTTTCCCACAATCACATAAATAGGCCTTACTTTTCCCATAAAAATTAACAAGCCTTGCTTCCTAAAATGATGAGAATTCCTTTTTTGAAGCAAGGCTACGTGAAAGTAAATAGAATCGTATGCTCTACTAATATAATTGTGGAAACATTCAACTACCACTTCTTCGTCACCCTGGACGAAATAGGGTGAACACAACTTATATAATGGGGGCTACTTACTTCAATCTACTGGAAGCACAATTCATTTGGAAGGCTCATGATTGCATCAAACGATTACAAAACAAGCAAGGTACATTGATGGATTTTCATCAACGATTTCGACCAAGGTTCGTTATTATGTGCATCTATCTAGTCAAGTGTCCGGTAAATGGCATATATAGAAGTGTAATTTTGGCCGTATATACTAAAATTAGTCTTAACTGGCTGATTTTGATACACTTACCTTGTACTTAACAGCCAAGCTGCATCCATTCTCAACGGATTGTCATGGTATATGTGATGAGTAGGTTACAAATTTGTCAGTAGATCTTTTCGGAACAACTTCACTATTTTTCGTATTTAAGTGGATTTTCTAGACTACCAGTAAATCAGTCATATGA